TCTGATTGACTGGTGTCTTCTTGTAATAGATAGTGTAGGCAGACACCCCTGACACAGGTTTATTGGCCATTATAAACAAATAGACTGTTAAAGCTGCACTAATCCTATTTACACATAGTCATTCAATTCAAAATGAAAATTGTTTATTAGCCACACAACCAAAGCCGGTGGAATTTTTGTTCAGTACAGTGTGTTATACTCTGCAGCACAGTAACAGACAAGTGCATACATGATCAGACTGACAACAGACAATCAGGATCAATCATGTCATAACGTCATAAACGTCATATTATAGGAAGGCATAAATAAGTCATTGTATAGTACGGCATAAAAAGTCTTAGTATAGTAGGGTATAGAAAAATCCTAGTATATTAAGGCAGACAACGTCAGAATATAATAAGTCACAAAAAAGTCATATTAGCCTATTAGTGGGCACTTTGGAATTACCTAATATGACTTCACTCCAAACATAGTACAAACGAGTTCACGCACATATTCTCTGGGACAATTCTGCCCTCTGAAAATATTGGTTGGGTCCTGTCCCTACCATCCATTTGCAAACCTACGCTCTTGTTATATCCCTTGTATCACCTGCTGCTAATAAATGATCCAACGTTCCTCCCTCCATTGATCATATTTTTAAACATAGCCTCGTAACTTTGCTCTCACGCACACTTTAAATATCTATGGGCCACTTTGAAAGCACAAATATCACTTGATACTTGAACTTAATAGACTTTCTAGTGGTACCTTGGATCGTCCTGAAAAATTCCACCCATGTTGCTACTTATCAGCGGGGCCACGGCCACTTAGCTGTGAAAATTAAGATAGTGCATGATTTTAGGAGAAGCTAATTAAAAGCTCTTTAATTACCTCTGATATCTCATCTTGCCTTATTGTTATTATCTTTATTCAAATATTTTGAATAAATTTCTATGCAGGCAGTGATGCTGCATAATCTTGTTCTTGGTGATGACAGCTCCACGCAGGTAGATAATGCAAAATGAGCTGTCATTTAGTTTTCATTGGGATTCTGTGGGATATCAATAGTGACTGGGACATTGAAAGTCATGCAATGGTTTTAAATCTTTGAGCTCCATAAATAGAATTCAGTTTACAGTAGATGGTATCTGAAAATGTCTGCAAATGAAGTATCAGCACGGCCCCTAAAGACCTAAAGCATTTATACATTCCTGGCGTGCTTATGCTACTTTTCACACCAAACTGCATGTTCTGTTGTTACTCTATTGTGCTTGATGTTCCAAAACATTAACATGGTTGTCTTTTGTCGGGTAAAAGACTAAACTACATGTTCATTGTTTGTTAGGCTTGATCAAATCAGCATTTTCTGATTAAAAACAAACTCACACTTGCATTGCCATAAGAATGCATGGATGCACAGGGGGAGGCAGAAACACACACACACACACACTTCAGGGTATTCCCCATTTATAAAATGTGAATGTTTATTAAATGTTGACAAGAACATTAAAACACATTATCAAGATTCAGCGAAAACAATCTATAGTACTTCACCAAAAAAGAAAAGAAAAGAAAGAAAACAGAGTTAGTTCTGCGCTGGGACTGAAGGAATGGGGGGGGGGGGGCAAAAAAGCAGAGCAATAAAGAGGCTGGGAGTGTGGAGCTGTGTGGGGAGGAGAGAGGAGAATTTAGGAGGTGTGGAGTGAGGGGGAATTGGCAGCAGAGGCTAAGGCAATTAAGGAGGTACACAGTAAGAAAGATAGAAGGTTTGGGGACCGGGGGGATCGATCAGGAGGGTGCTGATGCACTGTAATGAGCGAATGATTAGAGCCTCTGATTTCACTCTTTTATCATCTCTTCCGTTGGAGACTTAGCAAAGCTGCAGCAGAGAGCGTGACTATAAAGGCATTCACTCAACAAACACACACAAAGGGTATGGCAAATAATACTTCTCTCTACATTTAAATAACAAAGGGCAACATAGCATTAACATATACAATGAGCACAATGTTGTGTTGAGGTGAATAAAGATTTTGGGAGTGGGTTCTTCGAGGGGGGGGGGGGGGGGGGATTTAGAGTACGAGCGCAGTTCAACACAGTACCAGAAGTTGGTGTCCACTCTAATGGGGTTCACAATCACAATAAGTAATAGTTCATTATAATTATGTAAATCTCTCTGTTATCAACACAAATAGCAGGGGAGGCAAGTTGTACATAAGCATCACATGACTTTAAAATTCCACAGAGAGACACACTCAGCCTCCCACTCTCATCTGGCTCATGCACATCGGCATGTACAAACCAAAGCATGTGCATATATGTATACACACAGAGACACTGTAGACGCACACATGTGCACACTCACTCACTCACACACAAACACACACACACACACACACTTGCATACGTTCTCACACAGTCCAGTTCCTTCTCCTTAAGTGGCTTCATACATATCCAACTTAAAATTTTCCATATTTTCTGACATTATCATACCTCATACTCTGTGCCATAATAACATCAGCAAGTATTTGTAACATGTGTCTGTGCTTTCATGTTGAACAGGGGTAGCACTATAGTCCACTTGGACATGGTGTACAGCTGAACGTCCACAGCCGAGGTTCTGCGGAAAACACGCAGCAGTGGGAGATCCCTCCATCCAAGCGTCGGTGATGACAGAAAAACCTCACAGCTGTTCTAGTGTCCGAGGTATTGAGTGCAACATTGCTGGGCTACACGTTAACTCAGGGTCAGCTGGGGCGCCGCCCTTCAGCACACATTCAAAACCTTCTCCCAGTGCCACTCAGGGACTTTGAGAAGATCGCATTATGTCCAGCAAATGTGCCAAGAGAATCCAGATCTCTCTCATATTGTGCCCTTGTATATTTGTGCTGCAGGTTTGAACGGGCGTGTGCTCCAGGGATAATCGACATTCCTCCTTTTCATTCACATTCGACTTTCAGAGCAGCGCGGGCCGCTCCCACCTGTCGCTCAGGTAGAGGAAGGGGATAAAAGTTCTGTAAATACATCTCATTTCACTTGTTTTTTTGTTTTTTTTTTCACCAGTGGATTTAGTCAAGTCCATGTGCTTCAGTTCTCTTTGTGTTTTAGCATAGTAAGAAAACAGATTCACATGCTCTAAAAGTCATACACACTGTACAATAAAATCTACAGATATTTTTAAAGCTTTTAGTACATCCAAAGAAACTCGGTGAAACTGCAAAAAAGTTGATTCACCGATTTAAAAAAAAAAAAAAAGAGAGAGAAAGAGACAGAAAAATCGGAATTGCACTATTTTCCGCCCACGGTTTTTTTTATTCATAATATTTTTTCTTTTTCTTTCAATCTTTTTTTGTTTGCTTTAGGCAATTTTGTTTCTGCCATAACACATTGTAGAATTCCTACTGAAAAGAAAAACGACAGTGTTTGAGCGCGTCAAATCTTATTTTACAGCAACTTACTCTCTGTTTGCATGACAAGTGAAACTGTGTCACACAAACACATCCCACAACAATCAGCTGGAAAGGAAAAAAAATAAAATTCACAAAACAGAGCACAAACCATACAGGTGGGAATGGGGGGAGGGGTGTTGTTGGCAAAAAAAAAAAATGCATCATTTTCTCAACAGGTCCAAGAAAATAAGAACATGAGACAGTCTTGATTTGCCACTCATTCTGTGGTCCCCCCTCAGATTGTTATCAGTTTTCCTTCTTATGACATGTACATACATTAGAGGCTTTGTTATTTCGTGTTAATTACTTCAATGGAGAGAGTGAAGGTATGCCAGCCATGCATCACCTCTAGTCAGTCTGTGCTAAACACTGTAGTCAATCGAGATGCTCTGCTGAACTCATGACAGGAAATTGATCGTATTAGAGAGCTGTGTCTGTCTGTCTTTCTCTGTCGTAAACTCTCTCACTCACACACACACACACGTGCACGCACACACACACACACACACACACACACACACACACACACACACGCACGCGCTCACTCACACACATACAAAAAAAAGTGCTGGGTTACCATCTGTGAGTGCTGCATCAGTTGGCCAGTAGTCAGCTGGCAGGCAGATCAGACAAAGTGCCCAATATGCTCCCTAATGGCCCAAGTCAGATGAATGAGATCCTCCGTTGTTGCATTCTTTTTCCTCATTTCTCTTTCTCATCTGCACCTCCTCTTCTTCTTCCACTTCTACTTCTCCTCTTTGATTCACTCTTTCCAACCCCTTTTCCTTTCGACTAATTTAACCCTTGTCAAATTGTTACCTCGTTCTCTCTCTCTCTCTCTCTCTCTCAGTCTCCCCCTCTCATTATCTGAGACCCTGCACTTCTTGACACTATCCTGCTGGTTCTTACTCACAAGGATGTAAATGTGACATACAGCAGTGCACCACCCCACTTTCCCATCTCACTGGTGAAACGCTAGACTTCCCTTGCAGGGGGGTGGGGGTGGGTGGGTGGGTGGGGGTATCTCCTGTTCATATTTTGTGAAGGGGTTTGTCATTTTTTGGAGCAATCCTCTCCATTCACAGATAACATAGCGACGGGCAGTGAAACTGAACTCCGGTCTAAGTGCCATGTCAGCACAGATGGGAGGTCAGAGTTACATGACAGGAGGAAATCACTGATGTGTGATTCTGCAGGGGATGCTTGGACCACCATGTCAGACTGAGTAAAGCTAGCGCAGTGGACTGTGGGCTCAGGGCGCTGGTGTGCTGTTTTGTGTGAACTGAGTGATCAAAAATAAGGGCATCACGAATACATTATTGTTTAAAGAAAGGAACCAGGGGAAGGATTAGAGCAGCCAGCATGACTAGTAGCTGAGTGATGAGAGGAAGAGGAGCAAGAAGGAAGAGAGACATCAGGAGGCAAACAGCAGAGTCAACTAAACTCAAAGAGGTATGTTTTAGTGAATAAACAATATCAAGACAAGTAATTCTGCCTAGCTGTCTGGTTTGTAATGTTTCAAAAATTTCTTCTTTTTGTTTTTTTTTCTTTCTTTCTCTTTTGTCAGTTTCATTTATTCTCAGGATCACGGGTTGGCCGTATCTTCATCTCAGAGAACTTGAGTGAGTATTGCCAGCCAGTCCAGGAGGACCACTCGATGCCGTCGGCATAGGAGGTGTGCTGACCACGCAGGTATTGGCCGTTAAGGTTAGAGGTGTGGCAGTTGCGGTACCACCAGGCACCGTGGTAGAAGGAGGCGCAGTTATTCTCCGAGTGGTCGTTATCCCGGTCTTTGGTGGTGAATTTCATCCCGTTGTGCTTCAGTAGAGAGTCACCTATGGTGGGAAAAGGTGTGCAACAAAATTTGAATGTGTCAGTACATATATATATAGATACAGGTTCATTTAGATGTATGAAACAACCTCAGCTGGGAGATGAAAGAAAAAAATGAACTTTTTAAACGGCTATTGTATCTTCTCCAACATGCTCTTGGATCTGATACTGGAAACCAGTAATTACACATATCCACAAGTGATTAACTTCAAAATGGCATAAGACTTTTTAATTAATCATTTCTCTAAACAGAGGGAGATAATAGAATAAAAAAAATAAAGCTCCACAGTTCTCCAGAGTGCTGTGTCTCATTATCTAAAGCAGGAGGTCAGATGGATTTGTAGCCAATTTATCAAAAGGTTCTGTGGTGACCTTTTTATCTCCCTCTTTTTAATAACACCCACCCCGATGATTTCATCAGGATGTCTGTCAGTGAACAGACAGAAATGTTTTAAGAGGAGAGAAAAGACATATTTAAAGGACTTCCTCACATATGTTGATTTGAGTTTTGCATCTTTTAGGTATTTTTGTAAGTGGCAGTGATATAAAGTACACATAATAGTCAATGAGGGGGGGATTCTTTCCTGCATCCTGGATATGACAGTGATGTAAGACCACTGCAGGAATGCGGCACAGGCAAGTTGCATCACCTAAGTGCCCTTAATCACGGTCTGCATTGGTGAGGCTGATCTCCACAATCAAATAGCAGAGCTGAAAAGATCTACTCACTATATAAAGATTTCTCACTGCCAAATTCTCCGCATCGATAAATGCTTTGCAAGCTACTACTCTTAGAGGCTTACAAATAAAATGAAAGCAGCATCCTTCAGACACTGCGGTAGACTCAAAGTTTTCAGCAAATGGATGTTCAGAGAGCTCATAATGTTCAATAACCTCCCCATACCTCCCCTCCCTCTCTGTCCTTTCCTTTCTTTCCAAAGCAGGCTTCACGCTGTGACCAGAAGTGAATAGAAGGATAAAGCTGAGAGCAGAATGAAAGACCGCTCACCAGCCATCAGGTGATGGCTAACAGCTCGTCAGGGCATCAAACAGCCCTTAATTGCCCAGGATGTGGCCGCCCAGCTCCTTACCCTCTCACTCTGTCCTACTCTGCTCTCCATTTGGCATTACCATGGTAACCAGTCAGCGGGAAAAATAATCTGACAGGCTTGCCTGATATTCATGTTGTGTGCTGCTCGACATTAGGAGAAAAGAAATAGTGGGGGAGAAAAAAAAGAAGAGAACAGCTCAGTGGCGTCAACAACGGGATGATGTCCAGAGGATGTAGAAAAGAGGTAAGTGGAGGAAGAAAAAAAGAAATGCTTAAAAGCTCAAGGCATGGGATGTCACCTTGGTGGCTGGAGGCTGGCAGATGCCCATTAAGATCCAGCTGCTCCCAGCCCAAATGAGCACCTGTCAGCTGATTGGAGAGCAGCCACCGCACAGCAAAGTAAAACTAATAACAATAATAACAGTAGGACTGCCTGGAGGGAAGCTGAGGTGAGGACACGAGCATCCGGATAGAGTTTGAGTACCCTTAATTTGACCGGATTCAAATGTTTAGCAAGCAGATGAGTTCAAGGTCAGGCCATGCTGAGGACAGGCCGGGAGCATTATTACTGGACTCTTTAGGAAACACACAGATATCTGGGCAAAAAAGCTGTTAACGCACACAACACATTTTTCCTTCCCCTCTGGTTTCCTTCCTTTACTCTGTCCCTTAGATACCTCTACCCTCTAATTTATTAACCTCTTCCTCTCTTCTGCTCCCCTCTTCTTCTCTCACACCTGTCCCCTTCATTCCTCCACCCTAGATTCTTCCAACCCTCCTGCTCTCCCTCCTTCCACTCTTCTCTTCCCTGCTCCATCTCTCATATCTGTCCCCATTCTCTCCGTGTTCTCAGAGCAGAGCTCCCCAAAGGTTCTTTAAATTGCTTCTTCATTTCAACGGCAGGTTTTTGTTTACGCTGCAGGTCAAGCAGTGCAATTAATTGGCAGTAATTTAATCAAGGTGACAGGTAGCTGGCTTGAATCTGATGGTTGGGGAGCAGAGACACAGACACCAGCAGTCCTCTTACTGTGCAACTGTCTGCATGGTTTAACAAGTGGACACTCCTACTGCACTGTAAAAATAACATACTGTTGTTTGTCTAGAAGGCAGCACATGCTGGTGGTTGGCTTTACCACACTCCTGTGACTTCTGCGTTCATAATTAGGTTAAATGAAAAAAAACAAAAAAGTTCTAATGCAAAAATAGCATCGACTAATCAGAATATCTGCACAGAAATTCTTGCAAGCAAAGTAGTTAACTAGTTCACTGAGTATACCTGCATTGCCAGAATAGTCTCCTACAGTCAAAGGGTATCCATCATCATCAGGGTCCACTGAAAAGAGGCCCACTCCAAAGGTACCATACTGGGCGTAAGCAGTGCTATTTTCAAAGTCCTCCAAGTCGATACGTAGCTCATAGTTCCCCTGGATGGACAGGGCATGGATCTGCTTCAGGCCTGCAGGGAAAGGAAAGAGCGAGACACAGACCAAAACAATCCATTACAAAGTACTACCATTGTTCTCAGCAAACAATATGGGGCTATTTCAGAAGCCGAACACCGAACATTTTCTGGAAATAAGATGTAATATGGTTTTTGTCCCATTTAGAGTCTCCGCTTGCATGTGTAGGGTTTCTTTCCAAAACAAGATTAGAGTTTCAAAAGTGTGCGGAGCGTCTGCTGTTTGCAGTGAGGATGGAGAGGCAAGTTGAAGCCACTGAATCAATATAGGTGATTTTCTCTTTTTTTTTTTAAATGAGGTAATGACACAAACGATTAAGGTTTCTTTCATACTGACATGCAGCTGGAACCAGGAAAAAACAGTTTGTTGTATCTTTTACGGCAACATATTTATATCAGAGCATTTTTATTGACATCCCACTACTAAATATGGGTATCAAATCACATTAAGTATGTTCTAAATATGTATAGCTACATTTGGCAGAAAGAACCAAATTAGCCCTGGTTAACCAAATTCTATAGCCCGTCCTGGCAGTTAAAGATTGTGAATTTGTCTGGAATTGCTTCCAAGCTTTTCTAGGACAAGGAGGCAGTGGACCAAACCACTGTGCGGCAGAGGGGGGAGGAGGAGGAGGAGTGTCCTGGATGAAAGAGATGCTGTAAAATAGTAGTAGTAGTAAATAGTAGTAAAAAGTTCACAAGGTTATCTGTTTTGGTGTGTTGTTAAAAACCTTTTAAAAAGATTAAATCTCAAAAAGAAAAAAAAATCTTCAATAAGAAAGGTTGAACTGTGAATGCTAATACTGGCTAGCAGGACTTCGCAGTCTTATCCAGGACCAAGTCTCATTCCTCCACATGAGAAGGTATTTCTACCCTGTAAAAAAAACACGTCTAAATTTAAGATTAATTCCCCCTGCTGTCTCTGAACATCAATGACAGTGACCTGACTTGATATTAAGTTATCGTTTTAATAGCGAAGAAAGAAATTTAAAATTTAACAGCAAGGTCAACAACATCTGTGGCCTCTTGATAATGAACAGATACAGAATTCACACTACTCTCTCTCTCTCTCTCGCTCCTGCTACTGCACTAATGTGATAATTTCAGTTCCCCTCAGGTCGGTTCAGGAGAGAGAGAGAAAAAACAGCTCTGCTCTATATTTACTATCAAAAAAAGAGGTGTAACACGTGGTTGGAGTCATCATTTGTGCAATTTCTCTATAGCAGGAATAGCTAGATGCATATGACTGAGTCAAAGAGGTTTGTGGTTATGCATGTAAAACTAATTTGTTTTATTGGAAAAAAATATGTTCATTTAATCCCAATTAACTTTTGGTATAATTAAGTGTTATGTCCCAGCTGATTAAAGAAACACCTTCGATTAAAAACAATTTGCATATCATAGTCGTGACTATATCCTACATGCATTGTTTGTTGGAGGAAAAGTATGTTTTTAAAAATCCTTGATTGTGTGTTGTTGTTGTTGTTGCGTTCCCATCCTCCTGTACTAACTTTGTAAGATTCAAACTTGCCATCTTGGATGCCCCCAACCGATCTTTTAATTGTTGCTCAATCCTTCAGAAAGACTGTTTAAGACATAAAGTGCCAGAGGGGAAAAAAAGGTTTCCATCCCTTCTTCCTTGCCCCCTCCTGCTCCACGTTTGCCCCTGCTGCGTTGGAGTGATGGTGCTTCCCAGGGCAAGTTTCCCTCTCCTGGGTTGATCAAAGCTACAAGAGGAATAGTGTGTCAGGCAGAGATGAGCAGGAGGAACTCAACCTGGGTCGCTTGAACACAAAATCCAAGGCAGGAAGACAAACAAAAAGTGAACTCAGCCTCAAGACTCTGTTAACCAGCCCTGCTCCATGCTTACAAATGCACTCTATACATTTGGAGTGTTTGTTTGGGACACAAGAAAGAAACAGCATTTGAAAGCGTGCACTGATGGAGGAGCTTCAAAGGCTCCTTGGTTAAGAACGAGGGTTGGATTTGGAGCATTTGGAGGAAGCTGTAGGCTGCAATCGCTGGCTAAAGGTTTGTTTTACTTTCTCTCCTGTAATGTTACTCAGAATCAGCATGAAAGCAGCCGCACCACAGGAAGGAAGGTGTTTTTATGGACCTCAACGCTGTCATTTTACCTCCTACGGCAATCATCACCTTCACAAATGAAACTCATTCTCCCTTTTAAAGCTTACAAACCTCAAACTGACTTTGCCTAATTTGAATTCCGCCGTTGTGCGAGAATTGCACTCTGAGAGCACCTTGTCTGAAGTTGAGGGCTAATTTGATGACAAACACAGCTGAAAGAACCCATTATTATTCAGAGACAGAAGCTTGCAGTCTGGGCCCAGGCACTTAGTTTGGATTTAATCTAGCCCAATGGGAGGTTGATCCCGCTCTTTTCATTTTCACAGTGGATCAGTGAATTGGAGGAGGACTCAGTCATTAATACATTCTTCCACAGGTAACTTTGTATGTACCAGTTTCCAGTTCATTCTTATACAAGAATATAAATACTCAAGTACACATGCAAAGACGAGTTACACACAGAAACACACACACACACACACACACGAGAAATGCAACACATTTTCCACATGCATTCATAGAAACAAAAATGGCTCACTTGCAGAAATAGTTTTTCTGTCGTAGCCCTCTGAGGAAAAAGTATCAATCCACACAAACACCTAAGGGAAAAGTACCCTGCAGTGATTTGACAAACTTCAAAAGAAAGACTTGTTTTCTCTTTCAGAAAAAAAAGAAAGAAAAATATACCAGATGCAACACAACTCTATTTAAAGACTCTGTGGCTTCAAACTGTATTTACATAACTTTAATTCACACTCTAATTAAAGCCCCAGAGAATCTCAGCGAGACTCTAATTCAGAATAATTAAGGAGGGAGACAAGTGAAATAACAGCAGAGACTTCTTTGGTTAAAATCTAAATGCTCAGGTGTAACTCCCTGTTAATTAAATGCTATTGTTGGGTTATTTAAAATGGGTTCTAATACAAGGGAGAATTTTGAGGTGTTTTGCTTCAGTATTAACATGCTGATTGCTCCGTTGGGGAGAGACTCTCTTCCTCTTATTACTGATTTGCCATTAAATGGAAGCTTAGCACAGAGTCAAAAAGCTCCTGTCCTCCTACGCGCTTTAGATGGGCAATTAGGGTATCTATTCTTTACTGCCTTTATTCTGACAAGCTTTATATCTGGGTCATATTAAGGTCCATTATTTTTAATTGGTGTTTGTCTTGGTGCGCAGTCTACCTTGTTTTTATGTCTGCAGCACATTCTTTTTCTTTTCATCATTATTGTTATTATTTTAATTATTATTGTTATTATTACACTATGTATATGTACATGTTCATCCCAACACTGCTGCAGAAGTTCCCACAAATGTGTTGCACTTGCAGGCTGCTTTGCTTTCACCTCCTGTCCAGTTCATCCCGAACCAGCTTGATGAGGTTTAAGTCTGGAGACTGTGCTGCTCTTCCGTCATTTTGGGTCATTATCTTGCTGTAGGATGACCCCCTGACCAACCGGTCTGTCTTCCTTTGTTGCCCGTCTTTTTCCCCCCTCACCATCCTAACAGCAATATACAGTGCTGCCTCCTGCAGAGCATTATAGTTCTATAATGCATCAGCGGGTGCAGTAACACATTTTGTTCCAACACTGCCTTCGTACAGACAGAGGGTTTATCAACCTGTGGGAATTGTTTGCACCAACTCTCAAGGCTTTTTTTTGTTATTCCCATTGCTGCAGGAGAACTGTATGTTAACCAAGGAGTCTAAAGCTATTCTAGCGCTTTGAGCTAACTGCTAACATCAGCATGCTAACACCATCTCATTTCAGCATGTTAGCATGCTATCATTCGCTAATTAGTACTAAACAGAGTACAGCTGAGGATGATGGGAATATTATTTTTAAACCAAAGTATTGGGCAAATGAAAGTTTTGACCTCATGTTTATTAAAAAGCAACAGATAATGAAAAAATATAAAATGTTATATTATGAGAAAAAAATCACTGCCTCATCGACCAGATGTGATGTGTATTCATGTAAGAGTAAGTGTGGGGAAATAATTAGAGTATACTTTGACCAACAAATCACACTACCAGTATGCTGTGAAGCTATCTCATAGACCTTGAGTCGAGGCTGGATTAGAAACCCAGGCCCTCAGGGGCCCTGAAAGCACCAGGGTGTCTGTGTATCAATTACATGTGTAGCAGAAACAGTAAAGGCCCAGGTCGCTCCTGTATTTCTTTTCTACTATTCAGGTCTTGAAAAGGGGCCCTGTGTCAAAATCTAGTTTTATACCTATTAATATTTCAATATTAATACTTAATGCCTCCTACATAGTGCATATTCTTAAACCAATGTGTTTAGTCAAATTATCACAAACTAATTATGCAACATACCTGGGGCAGTAATACCGAATAGCTTTCTATGACTTTGGGCAAATTGTGTGTGTGTGTGTGTGTGTGTGTGTGTGTGTGTGTGTGTGTGTGTGTGTGTGACTTAAAAGAGGCCCAAAGCTCACTGTTGTCCTGGAGCCCCCTGTTGGGCTAATCCAGCCCTGCCCCGAGATACAGTTTCCTTAAGCATACAATGCGCGCACATTTTTAGAAACCTGATAGTGTTATCCAACACTTCAAACAACAATCCCTCAATAGGTTGCAATCTTTTTAAACTTTTTCCTTCAGATAAATCTGCATATCACACAACCTGTGGTATAGAAGCGCAATTACTCAGTGTCATCTCAGTAGAAGATAAATAACACTGGCAAAAATCAGCATCTCATTTTGAGCAATCAATGTGTTTACTGATAAGGAATCTCATTTGGAGTGTACCTGATTAACAAGCACATTGACAGGACAGAAATCTTTAAGCATTCTTTGCCATTAAATCATCCGTGTCGTTACCATCTCCTTTACACTGTCTGCTAACAACAGAGCTGCGAGGCTCCATGGTCTTAACGCTAGAAGCTAAACATTATC